CGGGCGGGCGCGCGGCCCCCACCGCGCTGTCGGTTTCCCGGGGCCCCGCGCGGTTGGGCGCCGCTGCGGGCGGGGACGGGTTCCGCGGGCAGGCTGTGCGGGACCTGCCGGAGTTTGCGCGGGCGGGAGCGTCCTGCACTCCGCGTCTCCGGGCACTCCGCGTCTCCGGGCACCCCGCGCGCTGACCCGCAGGGGCTGGCAAGTGTCTGGTCTCGGCGCTGCCGGCGCTCAGGCTGTGCCCTGAGCCCGCAGGAAGCGGGCGTGTGCTGAACGTCTGTGACCCTCGCGGCGGAATAAACAGGAAGCGACGAGCACCCAGCCGGGCCACCCTGCTTTTGTTGTGCGGGCTGCGGGGCGCAGCGCGGAGGACGCTTCCTGGGATCCCAGCCGGCCGCCCCGGGGCCGGGCGCGCCCTGTAAGTGCGCGCCAGAGGACCTGGGCTCTGGGCTGGGCAGCTCGCCGTGCTGGCCCCGAGGGCATCGGCTTGCTTTTAAACTTTTTATTTTAATTGTTAAGGGAGGCGGCTTCCGATGACACGGAGGTTTCTGGAGGACCGCGGGGGCCGTGGCGGGTGGGTGGCACCTGAGAAGCCGCGTGGGTGGGGGCCGCTTCCCGGGTTGGTGCGCCCCTCCGCACAGCCGGAAACTCACGGCGAGTAGGGACCCGGGCGCAAGAGTGACTGCTGAGTGCCAGTGGACACAAAAACCAGCTTGATTTTTTGTTTTCCCCAGAGACTCTTTTAATGAGCTGGAATTGGATACTTTTGATTTGCTTCTGTTCTCTTCCTATGTGCGCCATCTAGTTCTTTCTCTTCTGAGTATGTCGGCAGCTTTGCATCCCTGGACCCCAGGGTGCAGTTCCGTGATGCTCTCTAGGTATCAGTGATGATTGTGATAAATATTGTCGATGGCCTACTGTGTGCTCCACGTGGCGGGATGAGGTGAGGTTATCTGTACAGGGCTGATTCCAGAATTGCCATTAGTAGGCTTTTTGCAGTGGGGGTGGGTGGCGTGGTGAGCAGCCCTGGCTCCTGGAAATGTGTGGTCCCGTGGCTGGCTGGAGGCTCGTGCTTCTTGGGGCTCGACTGGGAAGATTCCCTTTAAAAGGCCCCTCCCCTGGAGTGTTAGACAGCAGCCTGCAATGGGAAGCTGCCACTGCGTGCAGTCCTGCCTGCATTTGCATCTGAGTTCTTCATTTTTCCGGATTGATACTGCCAGTACTGTCGTGCGCACATCCGCCCTTGTGCTCTGCACAGTTCTCTTGGACTTACCTTCAGTGTAGGGCCGTTATGTCCAGTTTGAGTCATTCCAGGACCAGGGGAGTTGATCTAAATATTATCCTTGTACATGTATTGAATTATGATCTTTGGTTTCCCATCAACCCTTGAGTGCCATTTGATGGCCCTTGCAAAGAAGAGCTTTTTAAGACATGGGGGTAAATTCCTCATGATCGTTGAAAGCTCAGCTCTTTTAAGAGCTTCGCTTTGCTACTGGCGTTGAACACAGTGTTAGGAATTAGGGCCGAGACTATGGGTGCCAGGAAGGGGTTTGCTGCCGTGGACCGGAAGCTGCCTTGCTCTCTTGTTTCAAAAGACCCCCCTAATTTCCTAACATTCTGCTGCTTCCCCTGGAAGAGTCCTTGCTATGGTTCTAGTTTGTGGAGGTTTATATTTACGATGGAGAAGACGTTCCCCGCAGGGTTTTCAGACTGTCGCGTGAATCCTCTCTGGGGCTCAGTTTGCATGACCACAGTCCTGCAGAGGAACCCAGCCAGCTGCTTACCAAGGGATTCTGTGCCAATTTGTTGGCCTATCGTTTGAGATTCATAGTCTCCCACCCCCCACCCACCAGGGTATATACATCCAGAGACAAATATTTATTTTCCCCCAACTGCTGACAGTATTCTAAGAATAGTTCTTTTGCCTGGCACTGAGAGCAGGGCCTGCCCGCCTGCAGAGGTGTTTACAGTGTGGGACTATGTGTAGTCTCAGTCACTTAGCAGCCTGGCCGAGCAGCCCACAGCCCAGGGGACGCTGTCTGCTTTTCCTCTGGGCTGCGGGAGGGGCACCTCCCCGCCCAACACGGGGTGGAGGGAGGTGAGGATGACTCGGCGCCCTGTGCCTGGTTCCTGGCTTGTGGTCCAGCGGGGACCCCTAAGCTCCTCCAGGTCCCTGTGCTGTCACCCTGGGATCCGGGCAGGAGGTGACGGCTTTGTGTCATCACGCAAAACCCAAGCCCTCAGGGCTCGGGGCAGGGACGCTGGCAGCCGTGCCGTGTCAGATCTTCCTGGTGACTTGCCAAGTGTCTTCCCATCTTTCTTCTGAATCTCGGCTTACAGCGGCTCCGTGATGTGTCTGTCCTTTGGGTGAGAATTAGCACAGAAGAAAGAAATGGAACGTTCACTCCATGTTTACCTGGAGCATCTTTAGACGTGTTTAACATACTTTATAGAGATGTACGGCTATTAAATGTGGACAGTGCAGAATCGCGGTGGAGGTTCAAGCGGCCTTTCTCCGGCTTCCTCTCCCTCCTGTTTTAGGGCTCAGGACACTCTCTTGGAAGCCAGTATTTTCTGACGTCAAACTGCGTTTCTGCCTCCATGGGATGTGTTGGTCTGGAGTGACACCGTGACCTATACAATGCATGTGCATGGAAGGTGGAGCTTGAGTTTTAAGATAGCAACGTATAGCTTCTGCCTCCATTTGAGGATTTAGGCCACAGGACCTGCCACGTCTTAGGCAGATTTTTTTGGTGGCATTATTTGCTTGATTTTCAGGCAACTAGAGGACACAGGCAAGCACCTGCAGTATTAATTGCTGTAGAAATACCAGGTTCACATTTCCAGTTAATACTGTTTTTTCCTCTATTATAGGAGGACTTGAAAATAAGGTTTGTGTTGTCTCCTGTCTCTGTGATTTGAGTATGGATTGCTTTTCTTTGAATTTCCACTAAAAATGGTACTTTGGCCTTTTAAGCTGTTTTTGTAAGGACTTTTCTTTCCACCAAGCTTGTTTTCCAGACAGGTCTTGGAAATTACGAAGAACATAGCTATAATTTCTCCCTTGATTGGCAGCGGAGAGCTTTCCCGGACAAAAATAAGGCTGCTCTGTGCCAAATGGTTGACTTTTCTAGAATAAAAACTCTACAGGGCTTGCAGAAAGCCCTCTGGTTAATATATTGGCATTCCCAGAGCCCACTAAAACCCCGGCAGCCTGCCAGACACCACTTAATGAGGACACAGTGTGTCTGGCTCAGATCCCCCTGAGCAGGAGGGAGTGGGGGCTGATGTCCACACCCTTTATTCATTTTTAATGACTGCATTTTTGTTTTGCAGATTTTGCTCTGCACCCCTCCCCCACCCCTTTATTTACTCCTTTCCTTGGCATTGGGAAGATGTCGAGACTTTCAGGGGTAAGAACTCCACTGAGGGGTCATTTCTGTTTACACGGGGGTCTTTTGTTGTTGGCTTTTTTTTTCTTTCTCCCCTCCCCCCCGTTTTTGTTTTTGTTTTTTTGTTTTTTTTTGGAAGAGGAAGAGAGGAAAGGAACAGAAAAGGGGATGGCAGCTTTTTTAAAATGATGCTTTACTGTCTGCTGGAAAAGAGAAGCATTCATGAACCTTTAAGTTTGTCAGACAGTGTATATGGCAGTGCAAGCTGGTACTTGCCAAGCTCCAGACAGATGGCTAATGACAGGGATAAATAATCACTGCTGTCACCCCGCGCCTACAAGGCTCACCCTGCAGCCGGGTGGGCGCGGGGCCGCCGTGCTCCGGAGCTTGCTGGATGTCCGGTGCGCGGAAGGCCTCTGCCTGCTGCCTGGAATTGTCTGACCTGGTTCAGAAGCGAAAAGGGCGTGTCTCTTGCTTTTATTTTCGGCAGAGTTGCAGGGCGGCAGTCCAGGGAGCAGCTCTGTGTTTTCCAGGCCCCTCTCCCCCATGTTGTCCCCTCCTCTGCATCAGGGGACATCTTCCTCCCTGGGCCCTGCTTCTGATGAAACCAAACTTTGTTCTCAGCTGCTCGGGCCCTCAGGGTTCTCGAAGCCAAGTTTCGAGCCACTGATGGCTGTGTTCTTTCTGCAGGTGTAGACGCTGAGAACAACTCGTCTGAGTAGAGTGTGTGTGCTGCCCGGGAGGGGCTGGGTGGCACTCCCTGGGCACAGTGTCCTTTCATCCCTGGCAGTTTGCAGGGGCAGCTGGCGGAGTGACAGGTGTAAGGAACTTGACGGCCTTGCTCTAGTTGTTGGCGGACGCACTGCTCAGGTTACAAAGCCACCTCCTCAGTTGGTCTCCTGCCAAACGACTCGCAAGATCTTCTCTTTGCAGACGGGATTCAGGGCCTGGATGCTCCAATGACACTAGGGTCAGGCGTGGGCGGGGCGTAGGGTGGTGGTGAGCGACACCTGTGTCCCCTCATCCACGTGGTCCCTAAATGCATCTAGAATTTCTCTTCAGAGTAAGGTTGTTCTGTCCAGTCTGCAGAAGGGTCCATACCGCCCACCTCAGCTAGGTGGCTGGACGGTGGTGTGCGGTGGGGACCCTCAATGCTCCGGAGGCGGCCCGGGGCGCAGCAGCCTCGGCACCCAGTTGGGCAGGGAATTTCCGGAGTGAATCCTACTGTCCCGAATGGAGGGGTGCCAGGCTGCGCTGGGGGGCTCCGAGCAGAGGTCAGAGCGGCCACAGCACTGCCTTGTGCCAGGGCATCCCTGGTGTCACACTAGCTGATTTAATCCTCACCGCCGTCCTGGGATGTGGGCACCGCCACCACTGCCGTTTGCAGCCAGACAGCAAGAAACTGAAATGCCCCGCCCTAGTTGAACCTGGCTTTTTATTCCATAGTGTGTTGGGCCCGGCTGGAGCCAGTGTCACTGATCTGGTCTCTGAAATCCTTTTTTTCCTGATTATCTACTTATTGAAATTAAGTAGGAAACGATGAAACAACAAAGAAAAATAAACAAGAAGAAAATAAAAATGACTAAATTACCTGTAATTCCACTGCCTTTAGAGATGACCTCTGTTAACAGGTGCAGATTCCTTCCAAGCCTATTAATTAATCATAAAATCATGCGTGAAACTGATACCTGTGTATAAACTTAGCATTCCACCCTGAACGTTTTTTCATGGAGTTTAGACATGCCCCAAACCCCACTGCTGGTGTCTGTACTGTCCCACCCTGTGGTTATGTTATTGTTTAAGCCTGCCTTGGGACACTGAGGTTGTGAGCTGCTCTCTGTCGTTGCAAACATCACTGCGTGGGAAGTTTTGATTCCATCCTTTGGACAGATCCCTAAAGGCAGACTTGCTGGGCATGAGAAGTTTAGAGAGGGCTCTGGAAGCATCACCGTTGCCCTTCAGAAAGGAGGGGCACCGACCGGAGGGTGACTGCACCCTTGCCAACGCTGAGTGTTGTTAGGAAAAA